GGTTTCCAAATGCAAAGGAAGTTTGAGCGTTGAGGGAGTGTGTAGGATGGCACGGTGGCTCAGTGGTTAGCAATGCTGCCTCACAGCGCCTGGGACCCAGGTTCGATTCCACCCTCCGGCAACTGTCTGTGTAGAGTTTGTATGTTCTCCCTGTGTTTGTGAGAGTTTCCTCTGGGTGCTCCAGTTTCCTCCCACAGTCCAAAGATGTGCAGATTGGGTGGATTGGCCTTGGGAAATTGCCCATAGTGGCCAGTGATGTGCAGGCTAGATGGATTAGCCATGGGAAATGTTATAGGAGGGGGGGGGGGGTGGTCTGTGTGGGCTGCTCTTTGGAGGGAGGGGTTTTCGGTGTGGAACCGATGGGCCGAATGGCCTGCTTCCGCACTGTAGTGATTCTATGATTTAATTTTCCTTCCCTGTTTAAACTGTGTGACTCTGACTAGACTTGTTCTCTGTGTATAGTGAACAAACTAGACTCGGTGTCATGGAGAGTGGACTACACGCTGAGTTCCAGTGAGCTGAAGGAAGTAAATGAGCCTATCGTTCACCTGAAGCTTAATGTTCGGAATGTAGACACGGGGGCTGTGGCGCCCACAGTCATTTCAGTGACAGCAAAGAAGTTCAGAGTCTTACTCACCGGTAGGCCAAGCCTAAGACACATTCTTTTGGGGGGGGGACGGGTGGTGGGGGCTTATGATTAGAAATGTAACTAAACCCATTTTCGACAGAAGTTGCTGGAAAAGCTCAGCAGGTCTGGCAGCATCTGTGAAGAAAAGAAAAAAATCCGAGTTAACGTTCCTCAGAACTGAAGGGTCACCGGACCTGAAACGTTAACTCTGATCTTTTCTTCATAGATGCTGCCAGACCTGCTGAGCATTTCCAGCAACTTCTGTTTTTGTTCGTGATTTACCACATCCACAGTTCTTTCAGTCTTCTTAAACCCATTTTCAAGTTGTGTAAAATCTTAGGTTGCAATTGTTTTCACTGATTACGCTGTCTCACAAATGCACCTGCTTTGCATCTTCTACTACGGCCATAAGGTCGGAATTCTGAAGATGTTTAATGTCTGCTTTTAAAATTCTAATCCTCTCTTTTACTCAAATCCCTTCATGGCCTCACTCCCTCCATATCTCTGTAATGTGTAGGTACACTTTTTTGAGAACTCTATTGGATCTCACCAACACTGTCTTCTTGTGTATCCACTGACCAGTTGGACCAAAGGGTCTGATTTCATTTTCTATGACCCTACAACTTACTTTGCAACACAGTTGGCAGTGTGCCTTGAGCCACCGAGTTCCTAAGGTCTGAAGTTTCTTCCCCCAATTGTCCTTGCTTCTCCATCTCTCTCACTTCCAACACAATGCTCCTTAAAACCTACCTCTTTCACCAAGCTTTAGATCAGCTACTTTAATGCATAGGCTTTGATGCCAATCTCTGATTACATCTTGCAGGGTAGCTTCGAATCTATGAAAGGCACTATATAAATGCATGTTGGTAGATTTGATTATGGCTGATGGTTTCTTTTTTTTCTCTTTTACCCCCTCAGAACTCAAACAAGCTCAAGTATTGATGAATTCTTTGAATTAAACAACGTTGTACAGTGATCAACATCTCTAGTAGTCGCAAGCTTGCTGGGTTTACAGAAAACTGGAGGGACAGAGGTGGATACGCTGATATATTTAAACAAAACAAACAATGACTCTTGTTTGCTCTCTGTTGAGAAGGTTCGTCGGATTGTGGATCACAGAGTTTGAACGTTTGATTCAGTATTTCCTGCAAACGTCGCCAGAAAGGTGTTTGTTGTTTGGAATCCGAATTCAAATCTTGATGAAGCACTTTCTAGAGAATGACTCTGTGTGTGATGATTTAGCTTCCTCAGCACTGCAATATCTTCAGAATATCAATGACACAAACTGAACTATCACTGAGAAATGTCAATAAGAAATTAATGTCTGCTCACAGCTGATTGAGTCTCTATCAGGTCGTTTTAGTTGGCTGATCTGACTGAGGTTTGTGTGAGATTAACCAATTAAGGTGCAGTGGATTGAAACATTTTTTATACTCCTTTTACTGAGATCTTGGTTCAAATCTAGTTAAGACAACACAGGTGAAAGTATCCTCTCAGCAATGATTGTTGAGGATATTAAGTTGCACGTCTTAACACAACACAAGTGGTTGATTTAAGTAGCATTCCTTTTATTTATGATGTTCTGTTTTGTGTCTATAAGGCTGCAGGTACAGGGCATGGAAAAGTCAGTTCATCTCATGAATGGGTGAGGAAGTGGAATAATGGAAGTGGACTCTGTGTCCTGACAAGCATTATTCTTGAGAGTTTGAAACTAATTGAAAGCACTGACCATTTTGCCATCTAGATTCTTCTATTTGACCACCCAACACTTCATACTTAATAAAAGGTTTGACCACATCTCTGTCCTGTCAGTCCATTTTAACATCCAAGTGAAACTGGATCTAATTGGATCATAAAACCTAAATCCAGGGCACTTCAGTCATGAATCTCTTGGGGAGATGTAGATACTTGGATGACTGAGGGACAATGTCTGACCTCCAATTAAAGTATTTCTCAGAAGGCTAGGAAAGAATTGAGACAATGAAGAAAAAATGGGAAGCTTGAAGCCGGTGTAGTCTGAGTCAGGGTGTTTCTTTCTGGCTGTATGACATTATGCCCCTGGCTTGTGAAATAGCTTGGAAGTAAATTCCAAGAAATGATCAACCTTTTGAGGCATTACCATGCTCCAGTCTAACCATTATGGTAACTTGGGAGGAAGTTAGCCCAGAGGGAAAAGTCAAGCATTAGATATGATTCTTCCCACAGTTTGAAAAGCTAGTGTCTGCTTCCATTTGTAGTGACATGTTGGCTGACCACATTGACTTTTGAAACCTGGTTTCGGAAGCAGCTAAGGCTGATGAAGAGGACGTGTAAATTGCTCTATCTCTCTTTTCCTGTATTGTATGGCAGAATATAATGAGGTTGCAGCAATGTTGAAACTTCAGCTGCTTGTGAAAGAAACAGCTACACCTGCCCATAACAGAATGTTCCAGTTCTCACTCTCACTTTGATGAACAGAGATTCATCGGAATTCTTGGAGGAGGGTTCTCTCCGAATTGAAATAGGATGCAGCTGGCATCATAAAGTTGGGCTTGGAATAATCTTGAGTTTTTCTTCACAATAGATCATAGGTTTTCCTGGACTCTGGATATTTTTCTTTGCTGACTTTGACTTTATGACACCAGGGGTTAGAGTCTACATTATATGTTGTAAATCAAGAAGGAAAAAGAAGCATTTTCAGCCATGTTTGGAGATTAGCTTGGGATCATTGGGTCCACCACATCAAATCTTTTAAGATGGTCTGATGCAGGGACAATCAGAATGGGAGACTTGCCAATGAATTTCAGGGACAAGGCACCTGATAAATTGGAGAACTGTTGCATTGAGTTCTCTGTACGTTCAAGATATTGTGCTGTTTGTAACCTTAACTTAGCTCTCAACGTCAGAAATGTTAATGAGCGTGGCCATTCCAAACTCGGACAGATGCTGTGGGTCATTGTTTACATTGTATATGCTGAATAAAGTAATAAAAGAAAAGTTTGGGGGAAAATAGATAAATTTAAAAGTATATCATTTAATTTCAGTTCGTAATATTATATTCTGCTTCCTGAAGAAACCCGTGTGATAGTATAGCAAAATGACATTGTACCTTTACTTAATCAGGGACAAAGAAACAATTCAGTATTGAGACTGGTTAGCGTTGCTACCCAGTTTTTGTAATGAGTGTACATACCTTTGGTCACAGTCCAAGACCTTTGAGTACTCATTTACGAGTAGGTTTTATATGCTATGTTCAGATTTGTTTTGGGTTTAAGCACGGAGGTTAAAGTTTCTTTCCGGTTTCTACATACAATCTGGGGTCTAAATAAGTACATTTCAGCTTAACTAATTGCATCATGTAAACTTATAAATTGTGAAAATAAAGTCTAAAGTTTATCTGAAGTCTCCCTTTTTTTTTTTTTGATAATTTTTTGGCTTAATGGCTGAAGACAGAGTCATACAGCATGGAAACAGACCCTTTAGTTGAAGTAAGATAACAAGGTGTAGAGCTGGATGAACACAGCAGGCCGAGCAG